TCTTTCCCTTCTCTGTTCCTGCACCCCATAACTGGGTAAATGTTTTTAAAAATGTATAGATCAGGTAGAAAGGTTGTCATTATTCTATAAATGTTATAGTAGAAATGGAAAACACAATAGAAGTGTATGTTATTTTCCTGATACTGTTTTATTTATAAAGTTCTCATATTTGCCTGCTTTTTTATCCTTTGATGTCTTTCTTTTATTCCAGAGTGTTCACTTAGGTTGTATGGCTCATCTCTGACCAAATTTGCTCTGAAAAGTAGTGATGTTAATATAGATATAAAATTTCCTCCCAAGGTAAGTGTTTTCATCCATCCTCTGTTACTGGTAATAGAAGTACCCAACTGTGGGTAGTTCATAAAGAATGGGGGTTTATTTAGCTAATTTTAAAAAAATAATCATTTTATTGAACTTTATTTACTTAATTTGACCAGAGAGAGACAGAGTGACAGTGAGAGAGAGAAGAGAAAAAGAGATAAAGCAAGCCACTAAGTCCAGGAGTTGAACTGTGGTCGGCCATGTGGGAGTCCAGTGCCCTTAACCACCATGCCACTTGCCGACCCTTTAGCTTATGGTTTTGGAGTCCAAGGTCAGGGGGCCACATTTGATGATGATCCTGCTGGTAGGAATTGTCCATAGGTGGTGCAGGGTATCACATAGTGAGACAGAAAAAGAGCAGAGTGCCTGTCTGTCTGTCTTTCGTTCCGCTTCTTTGTAAACCCACCAGGATACAGTCATGGGGAGGTCCATCCTGATAACTTTAATTCTAATTCCTTCTCAAAGGCCTTACCACTTAATTGCATAGCCCTATTCATCCCATCACAACCAGATTTCATCACATGAATTTTTGGGGATACATTCAAACCATAGCAACAAGTAATTACAAAAGAACCTTTCCTGTGAGATTCTTAACTAATGTTTACTTAGTAATCTTTATAGATTATCTTTTTAGAGAAGGAGCAGGGAAATTTAAAACTCTGACTTGCATAGTAGTACCCTCATGAGTAAACAGTAGGAAACTAAAAAAAAGAAAAAAGGAAACCACTATTCTGTTGTTTTTATTTTAGAGTACAGATACAATTTTATTTAAACATTACTCCTTTTTTTTTTTTTTTTTTTATGTTTCCAACAAAAGGAGCTTTTTTTTTTTTTTTTAGGTTTCTACCATAGGGCACATGTGTTAGCTGGAAAGAGACAGAGAGAGAGAGAGAGAGAGAGAGAGAAGAAAAGTGAGAAAGCACCCTCCACCCCCCCACCTCCCTCCCCCCCACCAGAGATGGTCACATCTCAGTCCTTTCTCCTCTTAGGATTTTGGGAAAAAATGCACACATACTCAGTGTTTTTCTCTAAACACGAGGTCTAGGTCTTGAACTGTGCTGTTGGCCTTGTGGGATCCACCTGCTTTAGTCACCATGCTATCTGGCTGACTTGGTTATCTTTTTTTAAAAAAAGAATTATTTATTAAATTTGTATATATTCACTCATTTATTTTTTTAATTTGACAGAGAGAGAGAGAGAGAAAGAGAAAGCGAGAAAGCAAGCCACCAGGTCTGGAAGTCAAACCATGGTTAGCCATGTGGGGGAGTGTCCAGTGCCCTAACCACCATGTCATCCGCTGGCCCCCTGACTTGGTTATTCTTAAATCTAAATGAAATTGAGTTCTCCCTTACATTCTACTTCTTGAACTTTAAAATTAATATGTCAATATAATTTGAAACTTTTTTAGATGAATCATCCAGATCTTCTGATACAAGTGCTTGGGATTTTAAAAAAAAGTGGTAAGTTTCTTTCTTTTTTGAGAAATTTGCCTTTCTAAAGGTACATATATTGTGTTGTGTATATTTGACTAATCAGGTTATAACTAAAACCAGTTGGATATTGAGTCATTGAATTACATATAGATAATTACATACACATATATTTACTTAGTAGGTATGAGAAAATAAAATTTACCTGTTGATGAGGTTCAAAGTACCATATTAAAATTAATACATTAAAAACTACTGTCTTTTGGGTAATTAAAAAAAATACTATACTATGAGTTTTATGGGTATTTCTTGTATAAAAGAAGATAGAAAAGCTATAATGATTATAGTATTGTTGGTGAGTTAATGTTAGGGGAAAATATGGAATAGAAATATGTACATACATGGAGTAAATATGTTTTTTCCTTACTTAAATAGTGATTTTAATCATTTATGTTAAATAACTCAATCATACCTAGTAAGTTTTTTTTTTTTTTGAGAGGTTTTTGCTATAGAGCATGTGCGCTTGCCAGAAAGACAAGAGACAAAGAGACAGAAAGCGAGACAGAAAGTGAGAGATCACTCCTGGCGGGGGAGGGGATGGCTATGCGCAATCCCTTCTCATGTCTGGATCTTGGGCACACATGCGCACACACACCCGCTGTGAGTTTAAGCCACCGGGTCTAGGACATGAACCACAGTTGACTACATGGGAGTTCAGCAACAGCCATTATGCCAACTGCTGGTCCCTGTTTTGTTATTTTTTTAAGAGAGACTTTTGCTATAGGGCACGTGTGCTTGCTGGAGAGAGAGAGAGAGAGAGAGAGAGAGATAGAAAGTGGGAAATCACTCCCCCAAGGGAGATGGCCACACCACAGTCTCTTCTCTATTTTTCTCATGGGCACACACATATGCATGTGCACACTTATGTGTTTTAAGTTGCTGGGTCTGGGACTCGAACCACAGTTGACTACATGAGAGTCCAGCGATGTAACCATTGTACCATCTGCTAGTCCTACCTAGGAAGTTTTTTGCCTTGTCTGTGTGGATTACTTTGATAAATAGGACCTTCATGTAGGTAAAAATAATTTTCAAATTAATTCAAAAGAATCACAGCTGTCTCTAACCAGACCCTAAATCGTGTATTATAATCTAGCAGATCATTCTCTTGATTTTTATTTACTCTTTTTCTTGTTATAAGGTATATGTTAAAGAACTCAGGATCTGGAGTTAAACTTTCAGGCTCAGAGTGTTCTGCCATTTACTGATTGCGTGTGTGTGTTTTTAAACAAGCTCTGGCAAGTTTTATTAAAAATGTTGCGTGATTTATTTTTCACTGATCTGTTTGGCAATGCTTTTAATGATATCAGAAGCACCTGGATTAATGATAGCCAGTGTGCATACTCTAATATTTTCCACATGCTGTGCCCAATTCAATATTATCTCCACAGTAGTGATGGACACCATTTTTGGCCAACATGGCACAGTACTCTATTTCAGATTTCCTCAAAGCTGGGCAGTTGTTGGTGAGAATGACCAATTTCGCTTTGCCTTGTCTGATCATCTTGAGAATCTGCTTGTACCCCGGCACGTACTTCCCACTTTCCATAACAAGTTAGAGCCGAGAGTTGATCGACTCCAGTGACTTTTTCATCTTCTTTGCTGCCACCATCTTCCTGCCTTAGGTGCTGGATGGCCCCAACCAAGAGTAGCCACCAAGATGGCTGGCGAGCAAGAAGGTGATTGTGTGTTTTTTGACAAATTATTTCATTAATAATATATCCCGTTAGTCATCTATAAAACAACAGTAACATCAGTATCTTTTTTGGTGAGACAGTTATGAGTATGAAGTGGATTAAGCCATAACTTAAAGAAGTGCTGGTGGGACAGAAAGATAGTGTGGTGGTTGAGGCACTGGACTCTCACACGGCCAGCTGTGGTTCAAGTCCCGGCCCTGGCAGCTTTCTTTTTCACTTTCCCTTGCTCTCTGTCTGTTTCTCTCTGTTCAATTTTTTTTTGGGAAAAAAAAAAATGTAGTAATAAATAAAAGTGAAATAAACAATTTTTTAAAAGGTCCTGGTGTAAAAATAACCTCTTAATTACATTTTCTATTGTGATTGTTGTTATTAACTTTTATGAGTCAGAAGTACCTAGCAGAATATTTACAATTTTTTTTTAAAGAGAGATTTTTGCTATAGGGCACATGTGCTTGCTGGAGAGACTGAAAGTGAGAAATCACCCCACCGGGGGGATGGCCATGCTACAGTCCCTTCTCCTCTACTCTCCCCTCAGGATTCTAGGCATACATGCTCGTGTGCCCAGCGTGAGCTTTAAGTTGCTGGGTGCAGAACTCGAACCATGATCAACTATGTGGGAGCCCAGTGACATAACCATTACACCATCTGTTGGTGCCAAATATTTATTTAGTTTTATAAAAAAGACATGATTTTTCGATTACTTATTTGTTTAGTATTTAAAAATTGTTTTTGCCAGAGGATGCATGTACTCACCAGATAGAAAGAAAGTACTCCACATGGAGAATGGTCGTGCTCCAGTCCTTTCTCCTTTGGGATTTTGGGTATGCATGTATATACACCCAGCATGTTTCTTAGTCTTCTGATTCCAGGACTCAAACCATATAGTTGACTGTGTAGGATCCAGATATTTTTATTTTTAATTTTTTTTGTTTGTTTTTTGTCATAAGACATGTGCACTTGCCAGAGAGAGGGAAAATGAGAAATCGCTCTCAAAGGGGATGGCCACACTGCAGTCTCTCCTGTCTTCTCTAGGGATTTTGGATATGCATGCACATGTGCCTGCATGATTTATAAGTCACTGGGTCCAAGACTCAAACCGCAGTCAGTCATGTGAGAATCTATCATCTTAATCAGTATGCCACCTGCTGGCCCTGGGATCCAGCTCCTTAACTACTATGTCATGGAAGTGGCCTATCCCTTTTTAAGATTTACTCTCATTGGCTCTAATGTCAGCTTCCTTTCTCTGTCCCATCAACTCTCAGTTACTTATTAGCTTCCTGTTAGCCTTTGTCCTGGGAAATTAGTTCTGAAGGGATGAGGTTTGTACAGTTTATCCTAAAAGATAATTTTTAATATAGTTTCTTTCTTAATAAACAGTTTCTAATTACACAGAAACTTTAAAACCTTTTACAGATAACTAGTAGACATCACTATCAGCTGTTCAAATGTACTTAATAGTGTCAACCTAGCATCACAGTTTAAATGTCTTTGTTACTAGAGTATATGAGTAGATCATATTAAGTCATACAACATTAATTTGTAAAACTCAGACTGATTGTCAAATTATTTCCTCTTTATGTCCTCATTGTATCCTAGAGACCTCCATTATTTTGTTATATATTTGTATTGCAAACCCTCCATTGAGTTTTTTAGGTCTTAATCAATTGTCATATCCATTGTATTTAGTGAAATTTCAACACCTTTTTTTTGTCTCAACTACCAGGCTATGTAACTGGCCCCATGTGTTTTTTGAATTAATAAATGATTTTAACAAATACTACTGAGAAATTTTCATTGAATTTCAAGTAAAATAATGTTAATCCAGTTATCTTTATTTAGATTAGACATTTATGACAGGGAGCCTACCTTGGAGGTACAGAGAAAAACTTAAGGGTGGAAATATGCTTTATCCCCTTAGTTCTTCCTTAGCAGCTTTGCTTAGGCAGACTCTTCATGTACTAACAGGAAATAAGAGTGTCTACTTGAATTGGTAATTTAAAATAACTAAATTGTCAAAACATGATAGGTCCTTATTTCATGACTCCTGTGGAAATAGCCCTCAGAAGTAAGTGGTGTCCTCTCTTTGTTATATCTTTGAAGGTTCAACAATTTTGACAAGATTATGTACTCAAAAATATTGAAATCTTTAGGGATGTTAAGGTCTTTCTTCTTAAGGTGATTATAATTTTCATACAGTATTTGGGACTGTACCTGTGGTTTGTAATGTACAGCAAATAGCACCAAGAGAGGTAAGAGACTGTTGGGTTGATGTTCATAATGAGAAGAGTGGATTATCCCACTAAAACAATGAGAGAGATTATTAATAGTAAGCTGTTACATATTGTTTACCATAGAGTAAATATTTTAGAGATTTTGACATTAACTTACTTTTTTTTTCTTATTAGTATTATATGTAGATGTGGAATCTGATTTTCATGCTAAAGTTCCTGTTGTAATGTGCAAAGATCGAAAAAGGTTAGTAACAGTGATGAGACAATTTTTTAAAAATTTAAAGCCAAATTTATAGTAAACATCTCCAAGAGAGAACGTATTTATTTTAGATTTCTTCTTAGATTAATATGACTGATCTAGTTTTTATCCATTAAAATTTAGCAAGCTTACCAAACACATGTAAATAAGAAATAGAATTACCAGACTGTTAAAAATACACTCTAGACAAAACTTTCATTTTTTTCTCTCTGATTTACTCACTCAATAATATTGAGCATTTACTTAGGTGTGGGTACGGTTATATTGTAGGGCTAAAAACAAATAAGAAATAGCCTCTCTTTCCAAGGATTTTAGAGTCTATTAGAATATTGTTTTTTAGTTCACTCGAATGACTCATTGAAGACTGATCTTGCCTTTCTAGTCAGATATTTACAGAACTGAGAGAGCAAAATGCCTTTGAAAAGGGAAACTAAAATAATTCTAGTTGAGGTCAATATAGGATACATGGAAAAATATAGAAGTGATAAGTTGTTCTTTTATGGATTATTAATTTATATTTCTTACATTTTAATATTATTGTATGTTGGTTTGTTTGTTTGTTTTTTTTACAATTCTTTTAACACCCCTCCCCTTTTTGTTCTTTATTCCTCTTACACTTTTTTTTTGGTAAGAGGTTTTTTTTTTCCCTTCTTTTTTTTTTTTTTTTGCCTTAGGGTACGTGCACTTGCTGGAGGGAGAGACAGAGACAGTGAGAGAGAGTGAGAAATTGCCCCCCCAGGGGGATGACCATGCCACAGTCCCTTCTCCTCCATTTTCTTCCTGGGATCTTAGGCATGCACAAACACATGCCTGGTATGAGTTTCAAGCCACTAGGTCAGGCACTCAAACCGTGGTCAGCCATGTGGGAGTCCAGCGATGTAACTGCTATACCATCTGCTGGCCCAAAATTACTATTTTCTTATTCAAAGTTGGAAGACCCTATGGAGACCTAGTTCAACTGCTTTATTTTCTAAATTAGAAAATTGACACATAGAGTGGTTAAGCAGTTTGTCCAAATTTACATCATTTCATGGAAAAGCAGAAATGGAATGGAGGTAATCTGATGTCTAGTGTTTTTTCTACCACCTATGTCAAATTTCCTTATGTGGGAGCCTCATACTCAATTTTTCCTTAGCTCTAAAATATCTTCACTATACTGTCACCCCCATTTAAGGAAGCTCTTATTTTCATCTACATAAAAGTATAATTAGTGGGTTAACATGTAAATCCTTTCTAATTTTTAATCTGGAAATAACATGAATAAAATTATGAAAACATGGGTAGTCAAGAGTGTAGCAAGTTAATTCAGTATTTCATTTCTGTTTTATTATGTACAAAGCAAAAAGGATGAACTAAGTTGGTATGTTACATGATTGAACATCGAAGAGGTCAATATTCTTTCATATGAATCAAATTTTGGTGACTGATAATGCTGCTTTTGAAATTAATTTCTCATGAACTTAAATACTAACTGTGGATGAAATTTATTTCTCAAGTACAAATGAACATTAGAAGCATCTTTCTGTATTTCTATGGAATTCTAGTGATAGAAATGATACATAGTTCTCAGCTCTAAATTTATTAAAACATTTGTTTTCTTAGGACTTTTTACATATTAAAAAACTAGAAAGGGTAACCACAGGGTTTGATATATTCTGCTTTTTAAGGTATTAGTATAGTGAAATTTGTTTCTTTCTCATTCATAGTGGTTTACTTTGTAGAGTGAGTGCAGGAAATGATATGGCATGCCTCACTACTGATTTACTTGCTGCTCTTGGCAGAATGGAACCTGTCTTTACTCCCTTGGTGTTAGCCTTTCGCTACTGGGCTAAGGTAAGTGGAACAGAAGAAAAAGTACCTAATCTTTAAAGTAAGTCGGGCTTTTTCTTGCACTGACATGTAGCATAAATCATAATATTTGGGAGAAAATAATTATTGGAGCCAGCCAGAAAGCGATATAACAGGTTCTCACTTAGGAACATGAAAATAAAGTTTCAGGGCCAGCCAGTAGCTTGGTAGTTAAGGCAGTTGGATCCTATGTGGCTGACTGAGAACAGTTCAAGTCCTGGACCTGGCAGCCTGAAAAACATGGTGGATGCCTGTGTGTGTGTGTGTGTGTGTGTGTACGCACGCACCCCAAATCCCAAGAGGAGGATGGAAGAGAAGGGATTGTGGTGTGACTATCCTCCTGGTGGGGAGATAGTCACTTTCTCTCCCTCTCTTACTCTCTCTCTGTCTTTTCTGTAGTGAGTGCATGTACCCTATATCAAGAAACTAAAAATAAATAAATAAATTCATGAGTTTAAGCCACCGGGTCCAGGACTCCAACCACAGTCAACTACATGGGAGTCCAGAGACATATCCATTACTCCAACTGCTGGTCCAGAGATTACTTTATATGTATACATGAAATGAAGAGACCGCTGACTGAACCCAATAGCACTTCAATATCAAGAGACTAGAGAAGAAAAGAGGAACCAGCAAAGGAAACTGAGAAGGAATAACTAAATCTGAGCGCGGTGCCCTCTAAGTCAAACTCTAATGAAGAAAGTTTTCATACGAGGAAGTACTGGCAAATGCTGACAAACTAAAGATAAAAATTGAAAAATGACCATTGGATTGAGTAATATAGAGGTTATTGAAACTGATGGTATTAATATGTTTTGGCAGACTGATGGATCAACACCTGATTAGTGTGAATTAAGAGAAAACAGAAATCAGAAGTAGATTTAATAATATAGACAATTATTTCAAGAAATTTTACTGTACAGGGAAGCAAAGGATAGCTGCAAGGGAAAGTGTGTTAAGATTTTTATTTAAAACAGAAGAAATAAAAGTATGCTTGGTTTAGCAGAAAGTAAAAAATTGGTTATTTCAAAAAAAAAAGAACTAATAGATACTTATTTGCTCAATAAATGGAGTGAGTGGGGGCAGTAGATGAAACTGAGGAAAGGTGACTCCTTCCTTTTATTTATCTTATACTCTGTGCCTAGCACTATGCCTAACTTACCGTAGGAATTTAGTGCTCATTTACTTAGACTTTTTTGATGTGTTGTTAAAGAATGAGTATGTAAAGAGAATCTGTAATATACTGTCTTGGAAAAACAATGAGAAAAAACATAAAATCCTCCCTGTATTTATTAATATATAGAAAATAGAAATGTAAGTCTATTTATATAATATGATTATTTGAATTTAGAAAAGACATGGAAGAATACATAGAGTGTTGTTAATATTGAGGCAGAAGTTAAAGTAAGATAAGGAAAAAATAGTTTCCAGAAGTGTTCACAATAAAAGCACTATATATAAATATAGTGCTTTTAAACATAATAAAATATACACATATGCATAAAGAAATTACTGAAAAGATGGTCACCAGTATGTTAAAAGATTATTTCATGGTAGTGAGACTTAACATTATTTTTTGTATTCTTCATTGTTTGAACTTTTTATAGTTACTAGGATAGGGAAAACAAGCTACTTTTATTGTGAAAATAAAAGAAAGCTAAAATGTTGGTACTTTTTATTCTCTTTCATTTCTCAGTTGTGCTATATTGACTCCCAAACTGATGGTGGAATCCCTTCTTACTGTTTCGCTTTAATGGTGATGTTTTTTCTACAACAAAGAAAACCCCCTATTCTTCCTTGCTTACTTGGAAGTTGGGTAAGCATGAGTTTGTGGTATCTGCATGTATGTCTACACTGTTTGCTCTTGGGAATGCTCTGCTCTAGACATTTTAAGCTGGAATTCTGGTTTGTCTGTTTGTCCATCTTTTTTTTTTTCTTTAATAATTTTTCCACTACCAATTTGGAATGCCTTTTTATATAGATTGAAGGCTTTGACCCAAAAAGAATGGATGACTTTCAGCTGAAGGGCATAGTAGAAGAGAAGTTTGTGAAGTGGGAATATAATGCAAGTAGTGCAACTGAGAAAAACTCAATTGCTGAGGAAAACAAAGCTAAGGCAGACCAACCAAAAGATGATACCAAGAAGACAGAAACAGACAACCAAAGTAATGCCATGAAGGAAAAACATGGCAAAGTAAGCTTTTTGTTTTTGTTTTTGTTTTGGCTTTTCTATCTGTAGAATCTGTGATGCCTTCGATTGACTGACTAACCTTGTGTAAGCCTCTTGGCCTCATTTTCCTCATCTATAAAGTGAGGGGTTGATCTGGTTTAGTTTTTTAGTACTAAGATTCCCTAGTGAATTTATACCTCATTTTGAAAGATTTCTATTGTTTGAATCATGTCAAGATAGTTCTTTGTAATTTACCATGTATCTTTTTTCATCTAGGAAAATTTCGTTCAGGAGTTGGGCTCTGACCAAAAATTTAGCATATGAGAATTATGTTGCCAGACTGGGTGGAGAAATAAAGGTCCTGTGGTTTATGAGAGGGTGGGTTGCTTATTTAATCTACTCAGCATTGATTTAAGGACTTGCTATTTGCCAGGCATTATCTTGAGTGTTAAAGAACCTAAGATGAATATACATAGATTATGTCTTCCAGAATCTATTGTCTTTTGAGTAAACATGGTTCATTACTATAGATCTCTGAACGTTTTTGAAATCATTGCTGAATTATTTGTAGTTATTTGAATAGACTTCTTTATTCCATTTCAACTCTCCCATTTTTCAGAGGCTCTTGTCCACTTTCTCTTCAAACCACCCATACTCTCACTGCTGATATGCTTTTTCACTCAGAAATCAAAACAGAACTTCTGGACACTCCCATCATCATTTAATACCATGTGTCTACTTATACTCTGCCTTGCTGCCTGCTTACATATAAGAACTTCCTATTGGGACCAGCAAATGGCATAAAAGTTACATTGCTGAACTCCTATGTAGTTGACTGCAGTTCAAGTCCTGGACCCATCAGCTTAAACTCATGCCAGGCATGTGTGCGTGTGTACCCAAAGTTCTGAGAGGAGAATGAAGGAGAAGCGATTGCGATGTGGACATCCCCCGGGGCGGGGGGGGGGTCTTAAACTCGTGCCA